TTTTTCTGATCTAGGATAAGAAAAGTTGATGAAAGTGAGAACATGGTAAGGATGAGAAGCCTATAAGGTGCCAGATAAACTAGTCAAGAAAAATTGTATTATTTTACGAACGTATAGAGACTATAAGATAGAGCTTCAGACAGATTTTGGAAATTTCGACAATATTCTAAAACTGAATATTCCCCCACCTCTCAGCCAGTATCAAGTTGAGCGTGGGATGAAATAGCCAACAGTGACTACTGACAGAATTCATATTGTTTTTAACAATATCAAAAGTCCGTGAGCACTTTTTGTAATTTTTTTAAAACACTGAAGAATACGATATTTTAGAAATCTTCTCAGTCTTATGCACGTTCGACAAGTGCTGACCAATTCCAAAAGTTATAGGCTGGAACCATTTATTCAAAAATATTTACAAAAGAACAATCAAAAATCGAAAAAAATCATCCGCTTCAAAGAAAGATGAAAAACAAAACAGTGAACCAGTTGGTAAATATTACCAAAAAAGATAAATCAAAACATAAATTTTTCGAAAACTCCTCTTTTCTACTCTTGTAGATACCAATCCACAATTATCAGCAACAAATCTACAAGGCGACGAAAAAGATCCCAATGACGAGGACGATGAAGGTAGGCAAAAAAATCAAGCAGATGTTCATCCAACATGATCTTAATCCTTTCAGAGATGAACGAATTCATTCATAACCAAATATACAATACTGTACATTGTCCCCAAAACCATTTCATCATGGTGCAAAAACGTCAACAACTGCTCCGCGCACGCTGACAGAAAAAAAATGACCATAGTGCGGAAAATTTTGCTGCAGGAAACTCAGCATTTTGTAAAAGCCGTGGTCAGATCGGAAATGAACTTTTTTGCGCATGTTGTGCGCCATAGCATAGCCATTGTTGACGGGGATCTGATTTCGGTCGGCCGGCATCGGATCAGCACACAAAAACACTAAAATGGAAATCAGAAACTACTCCAGTTTTCAAGAGACCATCCATGACACTATCAAGCACTGAGGATACAGGGAAACACAAGTCAAAAATTAGATTTCGTCCAAAAGTATCTAAAAAGAATCTCCAACTTATTTTACGTAATTGGAGTTTTTTTGATTTGGAAACGCGTGGTTTCTGAGTTATACAATTCTTCTTTGTTGTTACTCCTCAATTCATCAAAAATGCTCACTTTTCAGTATTTTTCAAAACTTTTTTCAACGATACACCCAATTTCAGCAAACGACCTATTAGTTGATAGAGCATAAAAAAACTGAACAAAATGGCCTGTCCTGTTTGACTATTCCCATATACCATTCGTTCGAACAAGATCATCAAAACACACAATCTCGAGAACCTCACAAAGTAACTCTTAAGCGACAGAAACAAAAAACCCACTTACTTGAAAAATGGGCAATTACGTCTTGCCAGTAAATGTTGTCAACAACCAACATATTCGGTGTTTTTTGAAAATCGAACCAAAATTCGAGGATCATTGGTTCGTCTTTGTCGTCGTCGACGTTCCAGTTCGGTGTTATCAACTGGTCCGACATTTTCAAATCTATAATATATTTTTGAATGACCACGTGTTTGACAATGTATAGAACAAGTAAATGTTTTGTAGCTATAGAAGAAAGAAAATAAAACTTTAGACGTGGAACGTAAAAGACAAAATATTATACAATGGTCGATCTTACGCTCTATATAGATAAATGCTTCGTGTACAAACAATGACCTTACAACCACAAAATATTGGTCAAGATAAGCTACTGAGGATTCGATCTACTGAAGAAAAATCGCCATTGCATTGTACTTGCGTCGCCGTGACTTTTCCAGTCTACTGCCTGCGAACAGGAAAAATGTGCCGTTCTCTCCAATTATTGGGACTTTTTAATGAAATTAAGTGGTTAAAATTTCCTAAGAACAAATAGTCAGTCTCTGCATCGTTTTCAAGCCAGTTGTGAGGTGTCGCTAGAAGAAGGAATACAGCGGCACTACAAACAACGATAATTTATTTATCCTTTTGTTTCCTTCTTAAGTTACATGCTTTTATTTATTTATTTGTTTAGCAGACGGCGCGCGTTACAGGTAAGTGTCCTTTGGTAGTCTGTTACTTTTCGTGATAATATGGATTACCGCTCATTGTCGAAGTCGATTTCATGAACGTCTTATCATGTATGTACAGACGTAAGGAGATGTATCAATTCCTCTTAGTCTGATTGGTGAAACAATATGAATGGAGCCGAACTGAATGTTGTGCCAAATAATCTGTGTTTAACGCGAATTCCTGCATTAAATTTGAACGTAAGATGAGCAACGTTCCGTTTTTACTTAAGAGTGGGTTCCGTGAGCACAAATCTCTAACTATCTTTCACTACTTAAAAGCAGCTATATCCATTCTAGTAAAATACACTTTGTAAACGCAGACGTATTTTGTGAAATAGGACATATTTTTCTGCTACCCTTCGTAAACAGACTTTGTAAATGCAGATTTATTGTATGAAATACGATAGATATTTCTGTACCACTCTTCGTAAATAGATCTGGCAATGCGAAGTCATGACTTATATCCCGATCGGGATATAATCAAGATTCGAATCGGGATATCGTTGTATCCCGATCGAGCTATATTACTAAACATGTTCAAAAGAGTATTGAAAGTAAGTATGATCATCCGCTAATCGTCTTAAGTGAGACTTAAAAGTCTCTTTCAGTAAACTGAAGTAATAACATGTGAAATTCTAGAATATTAGTATTCTCAGCTACGATCTCAAGGCTCTCCAATATGTAGAAAAATGCAAGTAGAATAAGCTAAGCGTAATTTAGAATAGATTCGTTTGTCCACGTACTATAGTGTGTACGAACGTTATACGCTTCATGCAGATACGACGTATATGACCTTCTTTTCTTTTTTTCATCTATATATCACGTTTGTATGTATACAGCACGTGTATATACTTTGTATTTTAAACTTCCCATATGTGCAAGTCAATATAAAGCAAACAAAGGATCAGATAGCATATATTTTCTATAACGTGTGAAGTCTATTTCCATTCTTTTCAACGTCGTTAGTATAGTTGACGAACTTCCAAGTGAAATTATGACTACTTCCAACAATCATCATTCTGGTAAAATATCATCTGATTATATTGATGATAATACGAAACGTGCGCAAAGTAAATACAAACGAGGATTAACGTTGTTCAAAAAAGTAATTAGTCTTTGGTTTCTTTAACGCACGTATTTTAAGCCAGGACACGTTCTGCCTGCTAAATCGAAATTCACTTTATCATACTCTTGCAAATAAAGACGTTGATTGTCTACAGCTTGTGATAGAAATGTCTTGTATTCTTCTGTGACTGCTTCTAGAGAAATATTTGTTAATTGTTTCCTCTTCAATATTTCGCTTAAACGTATTCTCTCTCACACGCCATTAAGGAGAAAATCTTTTGTTTGAAATTCGAAAAACTAGCTTTGAAAGAATGAACTCTAAATTAGAACTAGAAGAAGAAACGACCGCTCGTGAGAATGTAGACTGTGCAAGTGAGAAACAAACAACAACCAAAAGAATTATTGACGACAACAAAACAAAACTCAGCAACTTCGTCCCATCCTCAAAACGGCAGTGTAATTTTAGCGACAAATGGTTAAAAGATCCACAATATATTTCATTTTTAAAAAAATGTATAGTTGAGTCCATCGGGTATTTTAGGTTGCGACGACGCTATTTCGTTAAAATAAGCGTCCCCCATTCGGAACTTTCAGTCCCACATTCGAAAAAAATAATCTGAGACCCCTGGTTTTGATAGTAAAGTTCATCTGTTTAGACTCACTTTATATGAGTAAGAGAACGTTTTTTGTTACAGGATCATATGGTGATTTTTTCCTTCGGGTAGCAATTACAACTTTTTTTCCGACGATAGGTAAAAGCGCCATGTATTTGAATGGAGCTGCTATCAATAGGAACAAAAAATTGCTTGACTGCTATATTTGAGAACACGCAAGAACGCAAAAGAATCAAGCAGGCCTCTTCTTTTTATCATTGTAATTAAGTCAAACTAAATTAGTTTTGAAAACGTTTTACATAATTGGATAGAGAATTGTCTCCTCTATCCCGGAATCTAAAATTCTCTCTTATCACTTGAAAAATGGCTGAGAAAATCGAGATTTACGAAAAAGAAAACATTTCCTGCTGTCAATAGGAACGCTGACTCTATTTCCGAACACTTATTTCACCCACTGTTGATGTTTGAATCGCCAGTCAGTGCCAAGATAGAAGTGTCGAGATGTACTTAGATAGATCTCTTCAAACTGAATCAAAAAGAAAACAAACACATGACAACGTGTTTCTTCATTCTATTTCTTTTATCTTTTCTTTCTCCGTTCTGTAGAATCGACGCATTTGCTAAGAATTGCCAAGAAGTGAAAGAAAAGGAAAGACATCTTATTTGATACATCCTTAATGTATATCTTTTATCTGGAAAATAGCTGGCACTTTAGCTGGCCTATAATATGAAGAAGGCAATCTCCATAAAAACTGTAGATAAAAAAAACACTTAAAAATCTTCATGATCAGGGAAAAACAGCCAAGAACAGAAAAATTCTTAAAATCCAGACAAATCCCGAACACCGGACAAATTCCTGAAAAAACTCAAAAAACCTTAATTTTTTTTCTTGCGCTCTGTACGATTTCGGCGACGGTCCCCCTCAATAAACCGTCACCCTCCAACCCTAGCCGCTTTGGGACAGCCCTAATTAGGCTGTTTCTTGAGACGCATATTTTGATAGAGCACTTAGGATATACTCACGTTACAAATAAGTGAGTTCAGCATTTTGGGAGATTTATCAAGAAGTTTCAAAACAGAAAAAATAGATAAAAATATCTAAACATTTTTACACAATAACATTTACATATCCAGAGGATAACAAAGCCGTTTAAAAAGGGCTGAATCACACGTATTTTAAAATGACTTATTGGCAAGTAAACAAATGTAAGTGTATTATACATCGACTCCACTTGATTTTAGTGTTAAAAGTGATATAAAATATTGTTGAGCTTCATAAACGATTCTTGTTCCAGGACCAGACGGTATGCCGAGACTGTGTAATTTTCTTTCGCTAATATAAGGTAATTCATAGATACCAATTTTTTCTTGTTCAAGTACAGCGGCATATTCCTGAAAAATAAAAACATATGAATGGGCTACCAATGAGCTCAACCGATCGAGAGATTTACTGAATGTTGTGAGCTTACCTCATAACCAAGTAAACTAAGAAAATACCGTAGCATTGCCTCCGTGCCGAAGAATCTAGAAAATAAAAAATAGAAACAAATATTGTTGATATATATTTTCAAAACATAAGTTAGTACATATTATTTAAACAAATGACACGAACTGTTCAATTTTTCTTGCTTGTCTTGGATCAATGATAGAATTTGAACGTTGAATGGTGCTCATTGACTGTATGTAAGACGTGGAAAGATTTAATGGTGTATTTAAACGATGAACATTGGCACTTATTAGGCGTAATTGTGCGGTTGATGATGAGCCAGTGGATTGTTGACGATGCATTAGTTGACGTAAATCAGCTACTTCATTACGTAAATGATAAATATCATCTTTCACGACACGTTGAAGTTGAATTTGTGCCGATATTTTGGCGATACTTTCAGCTAATGTTACGATTGATGATTCAAGACGAGTAAAACGTTGATCTACTTCTCTTTAAGAAAATCAAATTATTATTTATAAGAACGTGATAGAAATATTCATACCTCATATCCGTATTTGCATAAGCAATAGATGGCATCACTTTACGAAATCGATGTTTTTTTGGTAACAGCCCGGGATGATCTTGTTGAGATGATGTGCTTGATTTGATACTACTTCTGATCGAGTCAATATCGATATCAAGCAGTTTTAGTAAATCATTATACATTCGTTGTAAATCTTAAAAAAAATGATTCTAGAATAGATCTGTGAAAGTTAACAGAAAATCATACCTGTTAATTGTTTTCGTATCTGTAAGACTTCTTTTGAGCTCAAACTTGAACTATGTCTTGTTATATTAGGTGTCGATGTGCGAATATCCGGATGTTTTCGCAATTTTGAATCACTAAATTCACTGGTCAAGTCACTCCATCCATCACTTCCCAAATCACTGATATGATTGCCTTGGCGTCGAGCCATTCCTTAAAAAAATCATGTTCATCATAGTTGCGATTCATAATAATGAGAACGTTTGGCAGCATTAAAATTTGACATGATTTTCGATCATGGCATCATATTTGAATATAAAGTCTCTAGATTCGAAAAGATGGCATACAATTGGAGATTAAAACTAGTGGTTGAGGCTATATCGGATTCTAATGTGCAATTTCAAGTTCAAAGCTATGGTGAGTAGCAATTCATTTTAAAGGCTATACCTTATTTATCAGGGTTCATTTTAGTTCAGTTAATCTATAAAACCGAACTACAATTTGTCGAAAAACTAATAACAATGAATAACTAATTAAAAAAAATTGGTCAAAAACTTTCTTTGCTTACACTGTAAAAAATAAAGTGTGCCCGTAGATGTGTAAAAGTTCTAAGTGTGCAAATGGGAATCAAACTGATATGTTTTTTTCTAGGTGTGTAAAAGTCTCACTATATTCGCAGGTGTGTAAATTTTGCCAGTGTGTTTCTGGCACATCACATCGTGCATTTCTAGATGTGCAAATGCGAATCAAAGTGATGTGCAAGTTAAGTGTGTTTTGGACACACTTTATTTTTTACAGTGTATATTTTTTCTTACTTGTGATAATAGTACTAGTCATCTCGCGACGTATACGGGCACAAAAAGGAATATTTTACAGTCTGAAAATATTTGAGATTTAAAAAAACATACATTCTTGAATAACAATAAATATATATGTATATTTTTGATTAAATTTTTTTCTAGCAAAACAAACTAATTTATAGTTAGGTGGTTTCTATTAAAGGTGAAATATAAACAAAAATTTGAATAATGGTAACATGATCGAATTTTTAGGGATAAGAGAATGATTTATGTATTAATATCTGGATATATTTATCGTTTTACCTCGACCGATAAAAATCAGTTCGGTAGAAGATCACGCAAAGGATAGGATAGGTGTAGAAAAGATATTTTTCAAACTTTCACTTTAAAAATTGAGGAAAGTTAGAGAGTTTAGCGTTCCCTTGTATCACCATTGATGTGAACAAAGGCAGCTACTTAATTTAATAAATTTACTGCCTCATCTTCTCAGGACAAGAAAGAAAACTCTTGTTTTACCATCTTTTTGTTGTGCTATTTCTTCTTTACTTTGTGTATCTGTTATTGACTCTGAATCATCTGTTTGTTCACCATAATTCTTTAATCTGCATGGTGGTCGATGTGTTCTGATATTTTTTCTTGCTATTAATGTCGATGTAACGGTTTTAATCGAATATTTATTCCGATGTTTTTTCCAAACACGATTCAGTTCTTTTGTAGCCGGTGAGGGTGGAGGAGTCGAACCATCTCCTCCGTTTTTATCGTTTTGTTTCATGCCGACCAATGTTGATGTTGAATCCGTTTCATTTTCAACGGTAAATTGTGTAGATGGTGTTTGTACTTCGGACTCTTTTTCGTGATAAGCGTCATTTAGTTTATTGTTTGCCATTGGCAGATTATTAGCAGCGTAATCCGGTCTTGATCGTGATTGTTGTTGTTGAACATCAACAATTTGTACACGTGGATTTTTATTGGTCACTGGGGATAAAGGAGGTGAAGAGCGTTCATTTGAACTTGATCGTTGTTGTTCAACTTGTATCGTATGCTTTTGAGATTCTGAATTATTAACACTTGAACCAGGTATAATGTACAGTTCTCGTGCTTGTAACTGTTCATCAGACGAATTATTCGCTGATCGATGTAATTGTTGTGTTTGCTGTACAGTACTTTTAATACGTGGATTGACACTGACTTCGGGCAGCGATAATTTAGTATTTGTGCCATTTGTTGTTGGTAGTTTTGTTGCGTGATTTTGCTTTCGAGTTACTTGCATTTGACCCTTAAAATACACAAGGAAAAATGAATGCAAATTAATTTTGTTGAATTTGTCATTGGCACCTTATTTTCAAATGGTTGGTCATCTAATAGAACTGAATTAAAATTAAATACATCCAATTGATGTAGACCCGTACCAACACTTTTCGCTTGAACTTTACGTGTTGTTGTCGGTGTTGGCGTTCGCGGTAGGTGATTATAATCACTATTAATTGTTGCTATATCAATAGATTTTGTCTCTCGAGGAGGCTGTGATTTTACTGTTGTAATTGGATTCGATGTGACAAGTGCTGCTGATGTAGTGGAAGCAGCGTTTGTCACTGAACGTGCGGATGGCACTCTTGAATTATTGTTGTTTTGTACATTGATGATGGTTGCTGCAGGAGTTGGTGCTCGTTTAGTGATTAGTTCAGCTGGCAATGGTCCACCTCCATCGCCAGATGCCCCATGACTAGCTAGACCGTAATAAACCGTCGGATAATTATTATTATTATGAATTGAATTTGGACGTGAGTTGGATTTCGATCGACTATTGTGGTTGAAGCCCGTTTCATAGCCATACATTGGAGTTGATCGGCCATTTGATTGAGGTTGATCTGGACGTAATTTGTTTAGAGTTTTCGTTAATGCTGCATTCACATTTTTGACAGTGTCTATTTGACTTATTCGTACACTATTGCTCTTTAACCAAAAAAAACCGTATAATTCAAGTAATAAGAGTCTTCATAGTACTTACATTGTCACGCTGAGCTGATAAATATCGTCGATCACTCCTAGAAAACGTTTAGATTAAAATAACGACATTAATCATAACATAGTGGTAAATACTCACTGATTAGGTTCAACACCTAAAAATTCTTTGACTTGTTTTAATGGACGCTGATTCTGCTGTGGTGTTTGTTGATTTGGTGGCTAGAAAGAAGAAACACTACTAAACACTATACTTTGTCGTTTCATTCATATTTCACACACCGAATGTGCTCGTGGATTATTCACATCCCCATTAATCCCGAACGAGGTTAACGGCGTTCCTTCGCTGTAAACTGTATGATAACGTTTTGGTGCAGATCCACCAGAGGATGAGGAAGTAAACGTGACTTCTGGTCGGCGATTTTCTTTTTCCTACGAAAAAGAGACATATGTAATAAAAATCGAAAAATAAACAATTCCCATTTTACCAATGGCATACACTTGAGAATGACGCTTGACTAATTAAGACCACTTATGCGGAGACGAAAAAATGTGACTTTTGCATTTTTTTTTTGTCTAACAAATATTTTATTGTCCCATAATAAATTTTATATAATGAAACTGAAATATTATTATGAGTAGACACACATCACATCATATTTGAAATTATTAATATTGTTTACAAAGGACACTTGAAAATTGTGAAAAGAAACACCAAATTTTTTATTTAGAAAAAAAAATTCGTATACTGTTTTCTTTTTGACAATTAACATATCAATTATTTGTAAATCGAAAGAAACAGGAAGAATAATTTGAATCACGTTGCAAAACGCGTATAAAAAAAGCTTGATCTAGTAGTCCCGCAGATACAACGGAACTCACTCATGTGATAATAAATGATTACCCTTAATTAGAGCCCTCAGTTGTAGGAAAGGGATATACTGATGTGCGATTCACATACATATTTCATGAGTGATAACTAGTATTGTGAAGTCCAACTCAAACTGAAGAACAATGAGATGAAAAGGTTCAATTTTGCAGAACCAATCACTATGGAAAAAAAAATGGACCGTGTAGATCGAACTTCATGAGGTTGTAAAGAAACGCCTTTGATATATAACACGTTTATCATTTAAGCTAATAATAACTTCTCTTGTGCATCGCCCAATGACGAAACGCTTTTCTTTCTTTTGAATAATGTTACTAGTTGATTTTCAGTACTTTTATTTACATCTATTTTTCAGAGTCATTTCCGTCGAAAAGCATGATGGAAGTTACACAGATACTTTTTACTCATCTTGGATGAAGATCACTAAGCTAATATCGTTTAGACTAATCTATTCGTCTTCGATGAACCTGAAAAGTTTGAATCTCTAGGTTTTGAGAGTAACAAGATCTTTAGTGTAACAAGGTCTAGAGTGTGCTATTTTGTAGAGAATATTCAGCTACATTTGTGCAGAAATTATTAGAATTAGCGAACATGTTTTAATAAAATCATAGAACATCTTAGAATGCCAGTCATGTACAGCATTTTAAATTTTTGAGTAAAATAAAAAATCAAGAGTGTCACAACTCTGTAAAAACATGTTCGTTAATTCTAATAACTTCTGCACATATGTAGCTGAATATTCTCTACAAAATAGCACTATCGGACCTTGTTACTCTCAAAACTTGTAATGACTGCCTGGACAGTCAAACTTTTCAGTACTTTTTAGTACAAACGATATCAGATTAGTGATCTTCATCAAAGATGAGTCATAATAAAATGTGTTTCAATAAAACAGCAAGAGAATATGAAGAGACTATCTCGAGTTAGGTATGAATTCTGTAATTGGCATAGAAAGCTTGTTATAACTAAATATTCTAGATAGTGAACTTTTCTTTTGATAACAAGTGCATTAATATGTGAGCTAGACGGAAGACCGAGTTACAATATATAGGTTTTATCAAAAAAATTATAAATAGAAATCTTCAGCAGGAAATCGAATACTCTATTCTAGGACAAAAATATGCACGCAAATCCACTGACTTACCTTGTACTTTTGAAAATCTAAAATAATAGGTTTATTGTGTAAAGTTTGTTCCTTATTGGATGTTATTATTTTATTTGCACCGTTTCCTGCTAACATCTATATATTGTTGTAAATATGAATTATCATTCTTTCAATCATATTAATAAAAATGTGATCGAAATACTTTTGAGCAATGTTAATCAAGAAAAGCATGTTATTTCCAGAAAATGTTTGTCATTTTTTTTTCTTCTTCTAAATCTTATACTGGTACAAATACAGCAGCATGCGTTAATATCCAAAAATAATTATACGAGCACGGGTTGAGAAAGTGCTGCAGTTTTCTTTTTCAAATTATTGAATCGTTGTTTGAAATAAAGAAAAACAAATAATTATACGAATCACAATATGTGCAAAAGAAACGAAACCAAAAAAAATCATATTTTTGTTTAATATAAAATACAAAAAGAAGCAAACGCATATATATCAGTAACCGATCTCATATGTGGAAAGCGAACCGTCTAATCGTCATTTTAATTTTCAATTTTTTTTTTTGTGTTGAAAAGAAGTGAAAAAAATCTTGTATATCTCTATTTATTCTCTTCTTCCTCTTTTATTTATTTTTCAGATAGAACTTTTCTTTCTTTCTGCATAAAATAAAACTTTTACAAGAAAATAATATAGTTAGTTCGAGTGCTTCAGTTTTCGATTAATTCATACAAAAAATTCAGATAGACAACGTGTCTAATGTACAACAGTGTCAGTTCAAAAAATTCAAAAAAATGACTTTTATTTCGACATTTTTTTTTTCTTGTCTGATCAAAATGTTTGGCTTTTTTTGAATGTTAAACAGTGTACTTTAGAAAAGAAAAAAAGAACATATGATTAAAACACTGTCAAAGTTCAAATAAATACAATATAAAATTCAAAATATTTTATATTATTATTTTTTGAATAACTTTTAATTAAAGAGATATTGGCTTGCTGTTTTTTTTTATTAATCATAAAATAAGCTTTAAAATCTTTATCAAAGATAGAGTTCAAACGGTTTTTTAGAAAATTCGTTTAGATATACAAAATTTGAAATCGCAATATTTTTCTCTTGTAATATTAGTAGATAGCTCAAAGTAGTCTCTAACAATTGGGTTTTATCATAGCTCTACATTTCTTATGATTTAGGTATGATATTGGGGATCCCAAAAATTCTCGGAGTGGGTGATGCGAGATGACTTGTAAAAACCTTTAACATAACTAAAACATATGCTATCAACTACACTCAGTCTCATATCATGGCAATGTTTATTTTTATCAGAAATTTTATAAACCAAGCGAAAGCCTACAATCATGTAAAATAGTTAAAATATAGTATTTTTCAAAGTTTTGAAGTGTTTCTCTATTGATTTTGACTCAGTTTTGAATTTTTCAATTTTGTATGTCAATCGTCTAAAATAAGATATTTTATCTGAAGCAGATTTTTACTAAGTTTTTAAAATTCTTAATGAAAATACACATCATCACAAGATTCATCGTAGCCGATAACATATGTTCTATTTGTATTTAGTTTAGTTTACTATTATAATTTAGACAGTTATAAGTGTCTATTTTATTTCTGAGAACAAAAAGAATTATAGTCTTAAAAAAACAAATCTTTTCTTGCGTCAATATTTGAAAAATATGATCAGTGACGAAAAATGTTTTCTTTTTCTACTATTCTTCTATTGTGTGACAAATATGTGACAGGATGGAGTGAATGTTATGTGACAGCTTCCGGTTTGTAAGTTAGCCATCATTTTTTAAAGATTATTACCATTATAATACTCAGAGGAATTTACTCGATCTTTTTTTGATCTACAATCTAAAAAAAAGTGTTTCAATAATCCTTCTAGGAATTTAGGAGAGTATCACCATGTAGAATCCTGTAAGATTTAGTAATCGTGTTAATAAACCTGAACAAAATAGGTTTTCTGTTAAGACATATTAAATTTTATTTCTTAATACACAAATTAAAATAATTGTCAAAATAATTTTACTTGTACGAAACATTGTAATTCGTACATGGGGTTGGCTTTATAGTTAAAATAGTCAAACTTCATTTATCTTTGGTTGACAAAATATAGAAATGATTTATTCGGAAGAACTGGAGAGGCTTTGTACTATACCGTTACACTTGTTTAAACTGTCTAAAAAACTTTATGAGTTATTTTACAAAATTGAGAGTGAATCGTTAATAAAGCTATTGAGGATATCAACATTAGGCGCTTAATAAACGCAAAATGGACTAAATTTCTTTTGTCTAAGAGTCTTGCTAATGAGGATATTAGAACCACATAAAAATTGACTAAGTCAATACGTAGTCAAATTTTCAATTATCGTCAAATTGTAACGAATTTTGATCTCACTGACAAACGAACAAATGAAATGTGCCTGTCATCTTTCATCTTTCAATGATTCATATCACCAGCATATCATAACTGGTGATTTAAAAGTTGTCCAGGATAAATCTCTTCAAGACTTATTTTGAAAAGGTCCTGAAACTATGAAAAAGCTGAAACAACAGAGAGTTAATTATCGAGTGTACAAACCAAAACTAAAATGACAGATACTTTTGAATGAACTAAAGTAGATACAAATAAAGGTCGTAATTATGTCCATAGATAAAGCGAGCAAGAACGTAGCTGTTGTTGGCAAAAAGTTTTATTTACAAAAAACGCTGGAAGAAATTGGCTATGTTAAATCTTACAACAGATACAAAATAATCGATACGGAAAAGCCAGCAACAATTATCGATTCTCAGTGCCAGTTTTTAAAGCACAACATCGAGGTGTCAGATAAAATGAAGTTGTTACTGTTTGTTTACTGGATTTCAAAATTTCATAAAAGTCCAATTAAACAACAATTTATCATATAATCATCGTACTGTTGTACAAAAAGGTGAGCACAAATTCTGTGTTCTACTTTACGCTTGATATACAAACAGTAGATTATATATTGTACAAATATCAAACTTTAAACAAAAAATCAATCGGTTTTAGATAATAGACAACTTGTCCCATGTACTCAATCAGATAAAAGAGATTAATAAGTAAAAATCTCCTAGAAACATCGAAACGTACTAGCATTTCACAAGATCTTTTGATTAAAAGCATGAAATGGATAGTGAACAAAAGTATTCTGTCAAAAAATACCGTTATAGTAGCCAACAGTTAGTTTACTAACTTTCAAAGCAATTTCAATGTAAAGAATAAAAGTAGCAAAAATAAGTTTAATAATAGTTTAACATGTGTTTGCAGCTGCTGTTATTATTATTATTCAAAACATTGTCCATTAGAGAAAATAATTAAAAATCAATTAATTCTAACAAAAATTTTGTTCAACCAAATGGCACAATTTTTAGTTGAAAATTGTTATGTTACTCTCGGATGAATAGTAATTCAACAAATCAGTGGTATTCCAAATTATTAAATTGAAATTATTATAGACTACTTTTTTTAACGATCTTATTTGCATGGATCGATATGTGGTATTTCCACTATCGGTATTTGGGTATTAATATCGATACCACTCATACCTAGCTCTAATAATTTTTGTCTAAAAGACCAATCGGTTTTGAAAATCTTGATAGAAAACTATGAAGTTAATGGATTAAATGTGACATATTAATATCAAACAGAGCTGGCAAATAGACCTATCTAATAGTGGAAGTACATATACATAAGAGACGAACAATACATATAAATAACTTTTGTATGATATAATTTAACTTTTTCAAGTCTCATCGAGATCTTCATGGAATCAAACAATGTGCAATGAGATCGCGAGACTTAGCAAAAATAGTCTCTTTTTGAATTATGCACGGAAAAATTAGTACAGTGCAGAAAAAACTGAGATTTTCCTAGTCGACGATCAGTTCGGTCTAAAAAGTGGAATCAGCAATGCAGTTTTATCGGAGCTGAGTCAGATTTCAAATGTATCTTCTGATTTAGAGATGAAAATTCTGAGCGGCTTATTCAGCTTTGAATATGGTGACAAAACCAGGACTGGATTTTCTGACAAGTGACAATCTCAGAGATGCCTGAGCTGCAGCTCTGCAGCTGAGAAAAATTTAGAATAGTACAAAAATTAGATAACCTTGACTATTACAAATACTCAAGAACGGTGACTTTTCCTATCAAGCGCACTCTGTATGTTATCGTCATCATGTAGTTGAATTAGCCATGGAGGCACTGATAAGAATATTCAGCTCTGAATCAGTCAGAAGCAAAAGAGAAGAAAACAACTTTTTGTAGAAAGTAATTTTCAGCTTTTTGGAACTGATTGTCGACTAGTGCATGAAGAATTTTGTAAAAAAAACGTGAGAAGAAAACAATTTTCGCGAAACATCGGCGTATGACAACCAGTTCTCAATGTAATAGTCGAATTATTAGTGATTTTCTAGAAGGACTTTCAGATAAAAGAAGAAAATAGTTTAACTTGTATCTCCATTCAAAACTTGTTATCAGCAACGTATTAACTTGTCTGACAAAATTTGTTTTGGTATATTTGCAATAGGGTTATTACAATATCAGACCGCTTTATTCTTAGTTAGTAAAGTTGGTATGCGAAAAGAATTACTTGAGTTATACCAAATTGCTAGACATCGACTGAATCTTATAAAACCTTGTAATAGACTATTAAATATTTCATAGTCATAATTCAAACATTAAAGAAAACATTATGCAGCATTTGATGATGTAGTTCTGACTACAACAATGCGTCTGTGTTTGATAACAAGATAGATAGAAATTGAGAAGAACACCGAAACACAATTCCTAATTCAAATTAACATCAGATCTGTATGAAAAAGTGAATATTTTCTGAAGTTCATTTCTACAGAAAGTTTTTTTAAGAAAACTTAATTAATCAAAGAAAAAATTAACAAAATTTTAGTAATTCGATTTGAACAAGCCATTTTTGAGTGAAAAGTAGAATAGGTGTTTGTGAATAAAGGAAATGAGCATTTTTGTAATCCACCAGTAACTCTGAGAAAATTGAAAATCATTGTATTGTCTCTCATATCATAAATGGTAAATCTTTATTTTCCTCTCCGATGCCGTAATACAATGATCCATATCGATTTGTTTCTGGTATATGAAAAAATGACATACCAAGCCATTTTAAACTTCGTATTTGTATTAGTCCAGTTCCACGTTCATATTGTACACTCCATGAGCCTGAATGTACAACATAATAATTCTAATACATTGAAAAAGGGGAGAAATAACAGAGATACCTTTTGGAATATCTTCATCAACTGTATCGAGAAATTGAATACTTTTGTCGAGACTAGCACGATAGAGTAAACTTTTTTGTTGTAATTGTATTGGTTCACGAAAATGAAAGTAATTAGTCAGTTTACCAGCTTCAGTAGCGGTTAAACCTGAAATACGAAACAATTTACGTTTATTTCAAGCAGGATGCTCGATAATTCACCTTCAAATGTTCTGTTTCTTTCTACATCACCATTTGGCTGTAAAACGTATGAACCACGCGGAATTATCAACGAGTCTTGTTCAATTTGCCATAATACTGCAGCTAATCGTTCTTCTTCGCGTAATCTCGCCTAGAACGAAACGACTGTTCGATACTCACTGATGATAAAATAGATATCTTAGTCGAGATTAGTTCGTGATCTTCACTTCTATTGAGAAATCCGGAGTAAAATATTACCTTTTCTTCGTCGATGTTTTCCTCTTCTGTTCCTTCGTTTGTCACCGTGAACTTTTTCACTTCGAATTCATGTGATGCATCACCCGTAAAACGTCCTTGACACATTGGGGACAATTCTTTTGCCTCATCTGTTGCAGCCGTTAACATTGACCAATTAATACAGTCTTTGCTAGATCAAATAACAACATAGGTTAAGTTTCAATCATGCAACAACGTTTTCACGTCATACCTGTACAAAAATTGTCTCTCAGTTAGTTCATTTTTTGAACGTCCTTGCACGATGAAATAATCATCGGAAATACCCAATATCTTACCCCATAAATGGATGGATTTAAATCTGTATTGCTCTTTCAGAATAACCATCGATGTTTGTAGAGCAGCTCGTTGTTCAGGACTAAATACAATGCCGCTATAGGCCAGTAAATCAACATCAAGACTAAAGTTTTTAGATTCAATGCCCATTTTTCTTTCTTATCTCTCTTGTATTTATTCCTGAAACCGCTTTAAAAATGAGTAAATAGTCAAAGACGCGTATTACATAGTAACAACTTGCGACCATTAATAAAAAACATTCACTTCGTTTCCTACGACAGCCTTCATCACGTACTTTATCCTTTTCATGGCAAATTTTACATATACAGTATTTTAACTTTATTATAAGAAATATTGTAAATGAACAGAACTTGTTAGCCTTCTGAATGCTGTGATGTCGCGCAACTACTGCATCTGTACTACACGAGTAATTATACCATAGTATACAATAGTGCGTTTTTTTGCTCTTGATTCTTTAAACAAATCTGCCACCGAATTACAAATTTATAGACGTGTACAAGAGAGAATGAACTAGCTAGACATATATATCGAAACATACATAAACCATAAAAATTGGATGATCAAGGTTTAATCTCAAATGTGTTATAGATGATATTCAATTGAACCTAACATGAATTTGTAAGAGACATGCGTTATTTATTCGAAAAGAATACTCAACTAATGTTACAGTCTCACTCTCTCAATGGTATTAATATTGTAATAGTAGAAAAAAATGTCAGTGCTTGACTTCTGTTCTATCAGCAAGCAGTATAGCCTGAATTATAATTCAATTGAGATGTCAGTCTAAATGAAATTCTATAACACTTCAAGTCCAAAGCGATATGTTCGACAAGTTAAAGAACTTGATTTGTAACTATGGAATGAAACATCATCAAACAATTGTTCTTTACTAGTTCAGAGGTGAGCGAATCCGAGTCCAAGGCATGAACTGAACAAACCGAGTTCGAGTCCTGAGTCCATTTTGAGTCCCCTAATTTTTCAAGCTTTTTTGGTTGTTGTTATTTATATTTCTTTTTTCTCCTGTACTGTATAACTCATTAATCTTGTTATAATAGAGAAAAGTCACATAAGTAGACTTGTATTGCAAATCTCTGTTCGCTACATACGCATACACACCAGGGCTCGAACCAGGCCAGGCAGCCTGCCTGTCTGCCTGGGCCTCCGTGTTACAGATAGGCCAGGCTACAAATTTTCGGCCTGCACCAGGCTAAGGCAGACCAGACCCAAACTAAAATAGATTCAGGCAGACCTTTGAAAACACCAGGCGGCCTAGCCTGATTATTAATGAACACTACCCTAGTCGAACATCTTGAAACCAAGATCTTGATATCTTAGATTTTTTCGAAAAGATCTTGGCAAGATCTTTCGTACAAGATGTCAAGATATTTTTGTTCCTAAGATCTTGCCCATGATCTTGCGTACAAAATTCCAAAAATTATCTTGTATCCAAGATCTTGACTGTAAAATGATTTGCATCCAAGATCATGGCTCAAGATCTTTGATACAGAAATATTTTGACATCTTGTACCAAAGATCTTTGAGTAACCATTGGTTATCATTTCGCCGTCTTATTTTGGCGATGTCATCCTATATATGAACACCCTATTTTGTGTCTAATGTTACTATGTTTTCGTCGACAGCAGAGTCAAAACTCCATGACGGAGGCATTAGGGATCGTTCATCCTAGCGGATGAAATGTTCACCACTGAGCGATGAATATTCTTTGTTCCCACACTTGTTGAAAAAATGCAAAGAAAAAAGTTATTTTTGAAATATGACGGTTTTTCAAATGTTCAAGGTCCTGGGTACAAGATATCAAGGAATATCCGTACTCAAGGTCTTGCGTAAGATCTTGGGTGCTAAAAGGTCTTGAGATCTTGTACGCATTTTTTCAAGATCTAGTGCCAAATCCTAACGTAAGTTCTTGGGCAAGATCTTGGTTCCAAGATGTTGAACTAGGGTGTGCACCACTAAATCCTGACACGGTTGAGGATATCTTGTTAGTTAGATCAGTTCAGAAAACACTTGAACAAAAACCAAATTTTTTGTGTTACTAATGTTACTATTATTTGTACATTTTGTTTATTAAAAAAATAGTCAGGCTTCTACATACTACGCCGGGGTAGGTCAAGAGCAATGGCAGGCAGACAGACGAGGCCCAGGAAAGATATCTACAGGCCCAGGCAGATCTAAACATTACAGGCCTGCCGCAGGCAGACCAAGTCTCAAAAGTGTCGGCCTGTTTCGAGCCCTGATACACACACACAAGATATTTTACTTTTTTCTTTTTACTACTCTTGCGCAGTAAGAAGTATTTCAATTTTTATTTTTCGTTAGGCATAAAGTTATATGTTCAGTTTCTACCGTACAATGGAATTCGGGCTGTTATTATGTATCCAAAAAAACTGCTGTGCTAATTTTGAAAGAGAATAACACTATGCGTCTATATATCCCATACTAATATTGAAACAACGTAAACGTTTCTCTGTTCATTTATGTTAAAATTTGAATCGATCGGACTCCAAATACAAAAATTCAAGTCGAAATCCGAATCCATCGAAAAATCCTGCGGGCCGGACTCGCCCAACCCTGGTAAGTCACGTGTGTACTATTCTGTAAGTTAGCGTTACTTCCATTGAATAACATCTATATTTTTTCTCTTTCTTACAGCATTTCTGCACTATTCATATAAATCAATACTTTCACTGTCATTTTTTCCGTTTTTTCATAACTAGTGGTTCTGGTCAGTTCAAGTTTTTTGTCCTAGTGCCATCTAAACCCTCTAAAGTCGTGATAAATTAGTTATTCAGTGTTCATCCTATTCTGGCCATATATCTCGATTAGATATTGACGAAAACCTTGAATTTTTATTGCTTTTTGTTACCGTGCAATAGCAAATTTATTACAGTCAAGTGAGGTTCGAAGGCTGTCCCAGGACCACCTACATATGCCATGGCTGAAGCAAATGTAATAAAATCTTTCTTTTTTTTTACCGTAGACGTGGTCTAATGACAAGATTATTTGTAAAAATTGTAAAGACTCAAATTGATTCTTAAGAAAGAAATACTACGAATATGTATATGATAATAGAAATCTTAGTTGTTCACCTGTGTTTTTGGCTCAAAGTTTTCTAGAAAAAATTGTACCACTTTTATCAAAATCACAAATATATACATACTCTAAAAAAAGAAGCGTACCTTAACGAACCTTAAAAAAAGGGTTTAAGCGAGTAAACGATTTACGAACACGACTATTAAACTCTTTTCTGTGTTTAGCAGCGCCGTGGAAAAACACTTTCAGTTCTTTACAAAACCAAACAGTATTTTGAAAAACCCTTTTCGTATCTTAGAATACCTAAAAGGGTTTAGTTCCTAAACCTATATTCGTTCTGTATAGCAGATCCTCTAAACCTTTTCTGCTATTTTCAAAATACCTTTTGGTTTTGTAAAGAACTGAGTGTTTTTCAACGGTGCTCAAACTCAGAAAAGAGTTTAATGGTTATTTTCGTAAACCTTTTACTCTTTTAAACCCTTCTTTTTAGGATTCAGTGAGATACGTTTTGCTGTAGAGAGTAGTGATGAGCTAAGTTCTTGATAAACGATATTTGCCACTGAAATAAATTAACATTATTGTAGATATGATCATTGTGATAATGATTACCGTTGTGACGATATAACTATTTCCAGAAATACCTCTCAATCTATACTCATACACGGCTGCAAATGTTAAACATGTCGCTGTTGGACATTGATTCTTTTTTGCATTTTCAAATACATCGGAATCATTATCGTTTAATTTAACATTGTCCAATAAATAATTTGTAACAACAGAACAAAAATAAACTATTTGATCTTCTTTACTTATTCGATCAAACAAAAGTGTATCATTCATTCGATGTGTGGTGATAACTCGAATGTATTGATGTGATGGTAATGGTTTGAGATCAGGTATATCAGAATTATGCATTGTATTATCGTTTTTGACATACCATTTTATCATGTAGTTTTCTGTTTTGGAAAAGAAATCACACAATATCCTTGGTTTTAAAAGATCGGACAAGCTATATTTTGAACCGATTGATCCGCGTTTTCTCTCTTCATGCCAAAATGCTGGTTCCCCTACAAAAAAAAAGAGAAAAATTCTTACTTTTCTTGTATTGCTTCCAATAAAGTACCGTACCAATTATCCAGTAACACATTGTATCATTTATATTAGTTTTATCTGTTGCTTTGAATGTACTCAATATATCAATATAACCAGGATAATGAATTGTTAATTGAGAGAATGTAGGATTATTTTCACTGTGATCATATTTTACACGTGTTTTATAGGGTATTGGCTCAAATTTTGTTACATTCCCATCACGGCAAGAGCGATCAATAGCATCAAACTCTGTATTAGGTATTTTTATATTCCACTGAATATTTTTCGGATGTGAAGTATAATGTTTAATATAAACCTTGTTCGTATGAAGATAACCGTATACAAACGTTAAATTTGGATTTTCTGTATCAATACTCCGTGATGATATTATAAAAATCACCAATCCAAATATCGGATAATACATACATCAGTTTTGACTCACCGTTTTTTTAATTATTCAACATTTTCTTTATTGAACTTTATAATGGAATTGGATACTAACTGTATAACATCTGCTAATAGGCTCTTAGTATCACATGCCGAGATAATATTTAGATATCGAATATCAAATATACAGTTGTATAAATTCGGCGCCTTTTGCTTCTTCTGCAATAAAAAACGTATTCTTTAACAAAGTTCAATTGTGTTTGCGTTTTGAAAACAATAATCAGATATGAATCAAAAATAACTGATCACTTTTGAAAGATAAACTTCCCTAACTTTTATCATTAAAAAAAAAAGAAGTACTATTTTTGCCAATCTTTTAATTGAGCAAGCGGATTTGCACAGCAAACATTTTAAGTTAAAACGGAGCATGTACAGCATTGTACAACGTTGTTTTAAAAATTTACAAGCAATTTTCTACAAATCCTAAAACTCTATCGACGAATGTGCAGGTTTTTCTCTCGAAGCCGTTTTTTTTTCAGTCTTGGCTTCATCATTTTAAGACTAACCCGAAGCCTCCATCATCTATTCGAGTGGAGATCTTTGTAAAACACGAATCGCTCCATGTCGATCTTTGTTCAAGCTGAAGCTGTTCAAGTGTCGCCACAAAAAAAAGGAGATTATTTTGTTAAAATGTTGAATTTCATTATTTCAATATTTGATATTAGTAACATATAATATTCGTTTATGCCATATCGATAGATTTTTACATAACGCAATTGTGACAATGTTAATTTAGATGAGCTTCTAAGAAATACAAAAGAAATTAACTGAAGACTCGATGCTCGTATCGCAACAAAATCTTGAAACCGTCTATATTTTGGTTAATTAATTTGTATCGAGTACAAAAATGGTGGTCTTGACTAATGTTTATGAGAAATAAAACGATGTTTTAACGGAAAACAAACTAAACATTAGAATTTTAGAATATTAAAAATGATTCTCACATGTCGGATAAATATAACCGGTAATGGTAACATATCAATTTCCTGTCTAGTACTTGTTAAAACCCTGTTGCGTGCAGATATTTGCATCGTTAAATTATCCACCGATTAGGCCGAATCCTTCGTTACAATTATTCTACCGCAGCCAAGTGTTTACGATGTAATCTTTACGAACTTGACACATTCCAATCATCATTACGGAAACAATTTTGAAATGCAGAGAGAGAAGCAAATTATTTCTTTTAAATTACGCTCTCGATTCTTCTTTAGTTTTTACAAATACAAAAAAAAACAGAACTATCTAAGTATTATAAACTGCTATAGACATGAAAATCGAAAATGTCTCATAATACAGACAAGAATAAATACAAACAACAAAGACAAAATACACAAGCTGTTCATGGCAGAAAAACAGTATTATATCAACATCAGTGTTTATAAAAAAAAGACAAAAAAAAATATATCCAACAAATTTTGTACATTGGCAAAAAAAAGACAGAGTAGTGTCACATTGACACAAATACGTGGACGTTAAGATTAAAGAAAAATATGACTGAGAGAGAAGATGAGTGAGTTTTCGGATCCATAGATCGTAATGTTGGTATTTGCATTGCTTAGTCACTCTTTTTTTTTGGTTTTTGACTTGGATATCTAACTTGATGCCGATGTAGAACCAGCGTCAATTTTAGTAGCTGCTGTTTTTTTCGTAGCAGTAGTTGCTCTTTTTGATCTTGTCTGTTTTGGGATACTTCCGATCGTTCCAGATAGTTTCGCGTTTGGTTTATGTTTTGATACGGTGATACTTTTTCGTGTTGATGGAACAACGCGTTTTCCTCTCAGCATTGTTGTTTTCTTTGAACTACGAATTGTTCGAGATGGTGTTACATTTTGTTCTTTACTCTCATTAACCCATGCAACCAATTGTTTTAAATATTTTTGTTTTTCATCCTTATGAAGGTTATAGAAATGCTGAACAAAAAATAGACAACGTTACATGTGAAACGATAAAAATGTTACGTTGATGCTGCATGCATCGTGGAAATACGGTCAATATAGATTGCTTTCTCACTAAGATTTCTAAAAGTCATTCTGCATACAACATACTAGCGATTGTAAAAAAAAACACAGTTCATTTAAACGCTCTTCTTCAAAAAAACCCTATATTCTCAGTGATACAGTGTACTCATACATACTAGTTTATCTTGTTCAGCCATTTGTCTCCATTTCTGTGCAGCACCTTTTGTGAATGACTGAAAGAAAAATTACAACTGTTAGATTCGTCCAGATGTTTTTCCAACGGAAACTTACTCCAAGATCTGCATCACCCCGTTCAAGTGTATGCAAGTAGAGTGAAAAGGCACTTCTCGGCCTTTTTGTTGGCAATTTTTTTATATGCTAAAAATAAAACATTGTCAAACTAACTGCTCTTAATGCCTATTCTCGTACTCATACAAGCCCTTTTTCAATTTTTCTTGCTTTTTCATCGTCAAGAATCATGGACAAACTAACTATATTTAATTTTTTCCTTTCTTTTTCGTATAACGTTTTTTGATCTTGTGACTGTTGAACATAAACCTGAAAAAGTATTGATAAGAATTTAATATAATTCAACAAAAGTTGATAACATCTGAGAAACTTTTAGTTTACGTTTCTATTCTTTCTATGATTTTTTACAAAATGTATAATCTTTTAAAGGCTTTATGAGAATTTTATATTTTTCTAAGATTTTTTTCTTGCTGTGAGTTTTCCAAATTTTATTTTTGTTACTTAAGTTTTCTCAAGATGCAAAAGGAAACTTAAGCTCCTACACAGTTGTCCTATGTTTTCTTCAAAAATTTCTCAAAAGAGCAGAGCAATAGAGAAAGCATTGTTGGTTTGTTGGTGAAAACTGCTTATTCTCGTTTCAGGTTAAGCAGCGCTGCTAAAAACACGAGAAAATATCATTTTTGTATTGGTTAGGCTTTTTGAGCGTATGAGATTATTGGGAGTGATTTTTTTATGCCTTTCTTTTCTTCTCGCAAAGATCGATGAATACATGTGTCGTTAGTTATAGAGATGTGGGCACAGCCAGAAGAGAAAAATGTTCCCACGTCCAAAACTGTGTTTGAATAATGTTTGTTAGATTGTGAATATATCTTTAGTTTTGCAATAACTTTGAAATTTGATCGTGAAAACTGCAAAATACAAGGACATTTCTTTGGTTGTTGCCACTGGTTTGAAAAAATTCATGTTCTCAGCAACGGAAAAAGATGATTTAAAACGACTCTGTAGTTTTTTCTTCATAGTTACGATGGTCAGAATGAAGTAAAAAGAATTGCTCTTCTTTGGATCTATAAAGATTTGATTGTTTTTTTTAATATGAAAATCGTTTTGAAAACCTTAAAAATGATTTTGTTCTATGTAACTCAATGAGCCCTATCCAACTATGACAAAAAAAGGGCAAGATTTTTTTACTTGAGTTTCACATTGCCGGCACCCTATATATAATCAAATTCTTCCATTCTTATTCTTTTTGTCTGATGATGAAGACTTCATCAAGCTTGAAACTGTTGCAAAGAAATAGATTATAAATTTGTAATAAATTATAGAAAGAATAGAATCCTAAACTAAAAGATTCAACAAAAGTTAATACCTGTTTTTCTTGATCAGATAAATTTTTCCATATTTCGCCAATTTTCTTACTAATATCAGTCATTTTTAAACCTAAACATTGAAACTATAGAAATCATTCAGTTATTAGAGGAAAAGGAACATACCAGGATATTGCTCTTTAAAATCGTTGTAATTATGTTTAACAAATAAAGTAAATGGATTTTTTGCACGTAATGATCGCATTTTTGCTACAACATCAGCACTGATATTATGACTATCATCAGTCTTTGTTGATATGAGCGATTTTGAAGTTTTATCGTTTGTTGGCGTGGTCAATGTCGATGACGTTGATGTTAGCCGTGTATCTGACGAAAATATCGAACGTGAAGATGAAACAAGAATCGTTTGTCTAAAGAAAGAATGCAGATTAAAAACGGTTATTTTCATGTAAAACTCATCTTACTTGCTAATAACGTGTGGAACCAAACGTGTAAATATTGCAGTACTAAACATATTTTTCTTCTTTTAATCTAGTACAAATGTATCGTTGAAATAAATTTTAAAAAAGCAAGAAAGATGTGTTGGAGCTTGATCAAACGTCAAATAATTTCGAATGAAAAGTTGCAAAAATAAAAATATCAAACACATGTATTGTACACATACTTTCATGACTATGAAAGGATGTTGTAAACGGCAGAAATCTGGTTCTTTTGATGGTTGTTCATTCTAGTCTTTAAGTTTTGTTCAAACTCATATAGTCGAAAGAACGCCATCTAACTCGAACAGTGAACGAGGTGATACAGCTGAAACATAAAAATTCTTTGCAAAAACAGGTCAGATTTGTTTAAACTTCTTTGGAAAAGGATGTAGTTGCAACATGCTCCGGAAAGAAAAGAAGACATTTCAGGAATAAAAAAAACCTTTTGGTTAGAGTGTCTCAGAGATAACGTTCCTTGCATAAGAGCTTAGAAAGTCAGTTCTTCAAATTTCTACTTGTAAAAGCGATACTGCTCAATAATTTCTGAAATTTCCAAGCAATCCCATTTAATTTAGAGGAACTTTTGAAGTTTACAAGTTGTTAGACAAATAGCTTAAAACCGTCTATTTTCATTATCATCTGATCTTATGGATCAGAAGAAAGTCTGCCCACTAGTCAAACCATAAAATATAGGTCTCTGGTTTTCGACAATGTAGGGTAAAGTTTCATGGTTCTAACTCACATTTGGTAGCCAAAACTTCAGTAGACAGTTTTCGAAGGTCTTTTTTTTGCTCGAACGTTCTTCAAAAAGAATACGTTGAATTACATTTTGAAAAATGCATGATAGTCAAAAAAATAACTAAGGATCAAAAACTTTTTCTCATCTTACAATCAGCATCTACGAGTGAAATCACCCTACTGTTCGTGAGTTTTAGCCAGAGGTGAAGAATCTTCCAAAAAATCAAAAATTTCCCCTTCCCATCGATTAAAGTTTTTCCAAAATTTCCCTCAAGCTGTTTTATCTTCGCCGCTCACAGACTAACTTTATTTTTTTTTCAAAAATTTCCCCGGGTAATGCAATTTTTCAAAAAATTTCCGCTCCCGCGCGGGGGCGCATGAGGGAGTTTCTGTACCTCTGGTTTTAGCCTAGTCCGATACTTTAAGAAGAATTGGGGATTGAATATTGATCCGATTACACCCACACAAAACTTAAGATCGTGTCAAGTGCAAATTGCTCAAAAGATTAATCTCCAGGTCGGCTAGCGTCTGTTCTAATGACTCTTAGTAATGGAATCTGATCGAGTTGTAAGATTCAAAAAATCGACTGCTTTTATGACTTACTCTTCTTTCTAAGAAAAAGATTATGTTAAAGTAATCTGATAGAGCAGCCCAAACAGTGATTTATCTAGGTTTTTGTTTCCGGAGGGGCAAATCAAACTTTTGCAGGGAGAATCAAATATTTCGATTACAAATTTTTTAAGATAAGTTCCTAAAAAGGATAAAATGCACCTCCGGCTCCTCGCTCTAGATAAAGTACTGAACCTAAAGAGGGGTCTAACCTGTATTTTGTTTTCAATTTTCAACTCAATCTGAAGAGAACAGTTATACTTCAAAAGCCTCAGTATTAACTTGAGATTGGCATTTTCTGAAACAAACACTGTTGAAAAGTCATGAAGTCGGTATTTACTTGAACTTGTTCTTTGATCCAATATCTTATCCTAGATAAGCCCGAATACATCTCATGAACAGCTGGTAAACTTTTCATGAAATTACCCTGCGGTCTTGTAATCATCAAAATTGGGCTTCGCTTAGTTTCTCTTCTCAATGTGTAGGAAGAAACTTGGTCACAATTAAATAAAGTTCATAGACTTATGATGTTACGAGCAAACAGTTAAATTTAAATAAGATATTAGCATCTTATTAGTACAAAAGAACAATCAGTTATCTTTACTAAAACAATAGTACCTAGAAGACAAATGCACAATTATTAAAAGTATCCAGAATGATAACCATACACGGCTTTTATTCTCTCTGATGCAAGAAAGAGAGAAAAATAACCATTAACCACACAACTTTATTAAAGTGGATATAACAGGGATATTAACAGATTTTATTTCAATAAAGTTATCTATGAACCACTGAGTGACCACACTCTAAGGTCCTTCCAATATCATCCTTTTTGATGATATATATTTCTATTACTAATCCATCATATTGTCAATTGCTTTCTTATTCCATTGTTCGATTTCAAATAATAGATAAAATATTAATACAAAATGTTTAATCTTCATACAGATAACTAATCGTTTTTTTTTTTACCAAAAAAAGACAAAACAGAAGAAAAAAAAACAGAAAAGAAGAACAACAGAGACACATGCAAAAGATAGAACCTCAAAACAAAACAAAAATGAAAATCAAATATGGTAATTTTTTTGATGCGTGTCAGACAAACAGAAAGAAAAGAGACCTAGAATAACAAACGAAATACGGTAAAGACTTGTTTGTATATGTATTTTTTACCCCAAATTAAACAGTGTCTTGTTCATTCGCACTTTGTGGTTCTTCTTCTTGTTCTTCTGATTGAGGTTGTTGCTGTAGTTCATCATCTTGTAGCTGCTGTACTTCGTCACTTTCTTCTTCCATTTGTTCATCACCATTAACCTCTTCTTCTTGAGGCTGCTGATGTTGATCTTGATCTTGATCTTCTTCGCCAATAATAATTACTTCTGCATTATTTGTATCAAATTCTTCTTCATCTTCTTGATCTTTTTCATGCTTTTTATTTTGATCTTTTGATGATGATGAATCACGACATCTATTAGATAATACTTGATTATCATCTTGCTTTTTTCCATTATTATCGTGTCGTTTATCTTTGCCTAGTATTTGACTGGCATAATCAAATGACGAACGTGCTTCGTTTCTCAAATGATAAATGGCATCCGAATAACGTTTATATTTGTCTTCTGCATCTTTTAAATCACGTTGTGTATCGCGGAGACGTTTTTTCGTATCAGCTAATTGTTCACTATAATGACGATTACTTTTTTCAGATGAATTTAAATCACTTGTTAATGTTACTAGAAAAAAAATCATAACTATAATATATATGAATTGAAACTTCGATAGTTAATGACTGTGAGAATCAGAATCTATTATTATTAACACAGAACTCTACAACTAAAAATGACTTACCTATCTCTTTTTTCAAAACATCAATTTTTGCTTCAAGCGCTGTTTGTGTTTTATTGGCTATTTCCAATTGTTTTAATGCACGATCAGCACCAATTATACAAATATTGTTATCATGGCCGTCTTCCATAGCTGATTTATCTTTAGTTGACTCTGGACGTACACCAAATATAGCTAGTTTTTGCGGTAATAATAACAAATTGCCTAAAAAATATGAAAACGATGTAAATTTATATCTTTGAATGTTTTACATTTAATTGCTTACCTTTAGGTGCTAATGGATCAATATAACTTTCCTCTTGTACACTCGTTACTTCATGTTCTTCTTTTGTTCCAGTCGTTGTTTTGTCTGTTAAACGTCTATATTGTATCTTTTCGTCTTTAGCAACACGACTGACCAACATTTTGACCTCGAAAGCATAAAATATATGAAAAAAAGATATCGATCATATCGCTGATTTACCTCATTTTTTGTCAATGATAAACCGGACAACAACAATAGCTCTTCCACATCTTTTTCACTTAAATAACCACATCGATTACGATCAAAATATGTATACGATAATAATAATTCGGGTTTGACAGTTTGTTGACGTGTAACAACATTTTGTTTTGATTCATCGCTACCACGTTTTGTTCGACTATGACTACGACTTGAGCGCGTATTATCACGTTTACTTGTATTATTCGATGAGCGTTTTGAATCTGAACGTGTATCCTAAATATATACTCGATTCGGTTTGAACAATTTCTTTAAGAGGATTCGAAAAACTGAGAAGATGTATTTTCATTTTGTTTTCAACATTGTATTCAAATGTTTGTATCAAAAGTACAAACAAGTCTTTTATGATTGATATACAACGAATGGATTTTCTGTTGTCTCCACCATTTGTATTCTTAGAAACACAGATTTATGGTGTTTAAATTAACATTAGATTATTGATGGTCAAAAATAAATCTCTACGTCAGTATGAAACGACGTTATGTGATAAGTAGATCCCTGTGTAAATGTAACATTTTTTCATCCCTTTCTGATGTGAAAAAGATGTTTGGTTTTGATTCAGTTCAATTCGCTTTTGGAAAAACAGGAACCGATCCCATCTCTGACACATAGTAAACTTAGAAAAGCTTAACGTCTATTGTCTATACCTTTTTAGTGCTACTTTCATCTAATGTCGAAGATTTCTTTCTTGGAGTTTCTTCCTGAAAAACAGACAATCAGATAACAAATAATGACGATTTATAAGTTATATATATTGTTAGAATACCTTGCTTTTCGATCGTTTTCGTTTTCGCCCAGACTCTATTGCTTCAATAGTTTCATCATTTTCCTCATCGATTTGTTGTTGTTCTGGCTCTTGTGGCTCACTATGTTCTTCATTTTCTTGTTCAATATTTTCTTGTTCAGTCGTCACATTTCTCTCGTCAGCTTGTTCGTTTTCCTCTGCTTCTTGATTCGTAGTAGTTTCTTCTTCTTCGTTTGCTGTTACAATATCTTCATTTTGTCCATTATCAGTTTCCACAGTAGTAACTGGCTGTTGTTCTTCAATTACTTCATCATTTGTCATCTTCGTTTCTTCTTGTTTAATTGTTGTTGTATCAGTTGTTGTAGAGGATGTAGAAGTAACCTCTTTTACTTCAAGGCAATCGTATAATGATCGATAAATTTTATAACTATGATCACGCATTAACATTTCAGAAAAACATTCGGAAAATAAATACAACTACAATAAAAAACAACAACAATTTAAAGAAGTTTATTAATAATGAAACTAAAATAACTCACTTCAAAACATTTTTCTTTTATTGTATCATGATTTGCATAATTCAATAGGTAATGTAATGATACAACACGACAATCAAACTTATCACCTTTAGCAGTTGTCGGATGAATTAGTATTGAGCGTTGGGGAGGTAATTGATAATTTGTTTCAATTTCTTTACGTAATTTTTCTACATCAACTTGTTGTTCTTTTTCAGCTTTTGTTGAACGATGTTGTTCTTCTTTTTTGGTGCCAGATGACGGTGGCGGTGATACTGCTTTTTCACTCTCTTTTGTTGTTGTTTCACCTTTTTCTTCCTCAAGCTAAAAGAATTAACGACATTTAAGTAAAACGCTTACATTAACTGTTAAACACATACTTTTTCTTGTTGGATAAGTTTGCTCAAACGCTTACGTAAATCAGCTTTTAAACCGGTTACGGGTTGATCACGAGCTTTTAATTCAGCTTTGAGATCAACGACCTAAAGAAAAACAATCATTTCAATCCCACTGATAACACGGAGTTCTTGATCAGATCTTACTCGCATATTATCTAAATCCACTTTTGAATGATGCGTAGCTGTTCGTGATTGAAGTTCTTCATCCTAAGCAGAGAAATATCAATTAAACTTCTTTCTAATAAGTTTATAAAATAAATAAAAAACAAAAATGTTTATTTAAAAGACTGAAAAAAGGCCAATATTTTCCGTGTAATGCATCATTTTTTTTTGTAGTTTTTTTTACATACGCAAACTGGGTTACCAAACTTCATCATAGCAAAAGAGGGAAAGAGAGATAGAGGCAGAGAGAATAAGAAATAAAATAAAAAATAGAGATAGAGAGTAAAGAAGAGGAGAATAGTTATGTACAGGTGTTGTATCTTCATGAAGTTCTTCTTTGATTGTTTCATCACATATTTGTTTGTATAATTTTGATGTTTCTTCCCATTCCATACTGTTTGGCATACATGTCGATAGATCAGGTAAAAATACAATAACATGTTCAACTCGACTATCAATAAGACGACCTTTGTGTATTTCTTCTGGACGATGATATAATATTTCCAAATATCGGCACCTATGATGAGCACACACAAGATATATATATATACATATATAAATAGATGATTTTGATGTGATTCAAGGCGTTTTTTCGCTTTGTTGGTTATTCTTAAAAAAGAACAGGAAGAGAAACCATGGTATGTATGATATACATTCCTCTTACGCTGTTGGAGCAAAAAATCGTTGGCGATATATCAAATAACGGTGCGTAAATAAAATCGATTGGCCGACATTTGTATTCTGGTTTTATTTTGGATGGAATTTCAAGATTTTTAAGAATATTTTATAGACAGAAGGAAATTTAAAGAGATAGAGAATTACTGAGAAGATATAAAAACATAATAACATGTGCAGATTCTCAAAAAGAAAACTTTTTTCTTCGACTATTTTGAACCTGGGAAAAATAATATCAAGCACTATGATCTATCTGTGTCAAATGCTTCTACTAACTAATAGTCAATTTTCCACTTTACCACTGCTAACGCATCGTTTTTTTAAGATTGAACTTTCAGTAGCAGATCACCTAATACTAAACTTCTACAAAATAGCTAGAGAGCTAAAGTTCAGAGCCATCATGACACTTTCTTAACATACAATATGTTGATCTACGCTTACCAAGAAAGCGTTACCGTTGCAAAGATAGACTTTCTAGTATCATAATTCATAATACCGTTCCGAATACCTTTTTTTTGCCCAGAAAATGATAAGTATTGTTTTTTCGAGTTAGATGCTCAGGTACTCATTACATATCAAATATTAACATAATAATACCAAGAAAGATCTTCCTAATCGTGACATTTCAGAATCTTTCCAGTAAAAAACAGTTCATTAACTAACTGCTCTTCTAGCTTTAAAAAAATCTGTTTTACTTTGATTTGAATAATTACCACTGAATGCATTTGCTTAGGTCAATGCCACTTTGTGCCTGAACGGTACGGATTGCTGTTCGAATTAAAACTTGTGGATCTTTGTCTGGATTTTGTCCATCCAATGACTCGGACCAAGCACCACCAAGTGAAAAATATTCATTTTGATGTCGAACTCCAACTAAAAATTTAATTAATTTACTGGGATGTTCTAAATCATCTGGATTCGACGTTTTTGATGATGAACTATCAGCTACTAAACAAGCACGTGTAATTAAATGTTGGATGTCAGGTGATGACATAAGCAAAACCTAAAAATAGGCAGAATAGTTTAGTTTTAGAATTATTGTACTTTCAGTTATTATAACACTTATTCTAGTCCACTTACTCTAACACTCCATGTATAATCTGCATCAACTGGATCTAATACCGCTGTATCTTTGATAACACGAGGAACATTTTTATTAAATATATGAAATGCACATGGTACAATAAATTTTAGTGGACGATCAATTGGCATCGAATCATGCCATTTATAAGAGGCGTGAAAAAAATCACTTGGAATATGTAAACGGCTATAACGTGAACGTAGTTGAATAACATTTAGTTCGGAACTAAACAAAGATAAAAATATTTGTTCAAAAATATTTATTGTTTCACTGTGAATTCTTGATTGACTTACCAATCTAGCGGTCCTTTTGGCAATAAAACACTGTATTTCGGTGGTGGTCGTCGCTTTGGTGTGAGTGTTTTTCCTGTACGAGATCTACTACGTCGTGAGGATGAAGCAGATGGACTGGCTACATGACCACTACGATGCGATGTTGTTTGTCGTCCACTATCAGCATGAGACGTTGACGATGTATTATTATATCGATCTCGACTGCTATATGGGTCAATAGCATTATTAGTATTGAGGCTGTTTATTGAACGTCTGGAATTCATTGACGATGAACCAGAACTGTTACGTGGAGGCTGTCGATTCATATATGTGTCTTGTGATCTTACGGGAGCAGTCGTTCGACCTAGAAATAGAAACAACGAGATGGCTAATTAACGCTATTGATGAATTCTCTCTTTAATCTATCCATTAGACAAACGTGGCTAAAAAAGAACTCAGTGGTAGTTAAAATTTAGTATTTCCTAGTTCCCTAATGTCAATAAAACAAAATAATCACTGCTCATATAAGTCAACACTGTACTACTCATATTTCTGATATGGAAGAAAAGCCTAAACCTATAGCATGACCTCAGCTACATAAATGATGAAAGAATAATGAGTTAAAAACAACTTCTCACTTTGTCTTCGATTATCCACGGATCTTACGTCATAACCAATATACTTATGTGCACCATAGCCTTCAGCATGTTTCATTTGACACACAACACGATCTCCAACATGTGGTACAGGACCACTAATTGCACTAAATTGAAAAAAAACAAGTTCGTGATACTACAGTTATTCAATTTTATTTTTTTGTGTGATCTCATGATTTAACATAATGAGAGTGATAAAATAAGAGACCGCAGTTTTCTAATTTGTTATGAGTTCAAAAGATTTTGTGAGGATCTTGTATCGTGTCCGAGAAAAGTTAATGTTTTACAGCAAATTTTGAAGTTCTAAAAGGAATACATACTTCAATTTGAACGAAATTTCATTGTCTATAACACCATGATCACGATACATATTCGATACAGTCCCAGTATACGGTAAACTTTTTGCTGATGAAGAATATGATGGTCCCATTAACGATGTTGCCTAAACATATATAAAAAAACTTTAAAAGAAAAATCGCGATATGCATAGGTACAAATACCAAATCTGTATTTTAAACTTACACTCCAGTACCCCTACAGTATTTTCAGAGAAAACTGTGTACTTTTATTTTTTAATCTAACAAACAGCACAATACTATGCGTAATTACGTCGAAAAACGAGAGAATCGAGCGACTAAGATGACTTATTTGTTCTATCAGAACCGGTTAAACGAAAAGATAACCGAATCAATGGCTGAATGAAAATACTAAAAACTGAACTCGTACCTGTACTGCGAGTTAGATTACACATCCACTGAGAGAATAATCCGAATTTAATCTGATTTCCTTACTTGATTATGCATAACAGGATATAATGAATTGGCGTTTGACGAATAACTCATTGGCATTGGCATCCCACTTGATCCACCGATACCTACAAAGCAAATACGTTCACTTTACATCTACTTCTCATCAAGTATTATTCAATAACTTACTGCGTTGCCAACTACTGCCTTTAAAAGCCATAATTTATCTGAAAACAAACGCAGAAACTATATAAGATTTAAGACAATTTTGACCATTCGAGCGATCATACAGAACCGAACGGCATTTAAGCCGACAAAAGAAACATTTAATTTTGTGAATTATTTAAGTTAGGATTTAAACCAGTGTTCGTTGTTCCGAAAAGTTACGTGAAAATGTCTAGATATCATAGAAACCGTTACTGCAACACTTTACCATGATGTTGGCACACTTTTACTATTAGCAGCTCTTGAGCCCCCCTGCAGCTCAAAGACAGTAAGCATTCTTTAATGACTTATGCTACAAGATGACTTAAAATGACTATTTCGCTTCTTTTACTTAAACGTCAGACAAATAAAAGCATTCCTGGAAACTAAGCACAAAATTGATGTTTATTCACTAAATTAGTGTTCTGCAGATGAAAGTGTATGGTGGTCAGAGATGCAAAATCCAACAAACCGGTTTCCAAGTGTAACTCTGAGATTTGAATAAGACATATGGCGTCTAGTAGTCAGATACGTTGATTCTAAATATGATATTTTTAGGTTCCATCTTTGCATCGTTTGTTGCATTTATTTTTTCTTTATAGCCGATAAACAGTTTATCACAAGACATATGGTGATACATTGAGAACCTTTGTGCGGTATACGGTTTTGTAAAAACGCTTGATACATTTATACTTAGTTTGCTGACTTATCATGCTTGAAAAAATGCATTTTATCGAATATGCATCGTTTTAATATATAGAATGATTTCTTTGCGTGATGTCTCATTGAAGAAAAACAGGAACACACTTCTAAGTCCCGTTGTAGTGAATTAAAAATATCCTCTATTGATATATTTGTCTGTATTGAATGTGTTTGTTGTGCTTAAAGAAATTCTGAAGTATTTATCGTCTTCTAAGGCAAAGAAATCATTCTATACAATAAAATGACACATATTCGATAAAATACATTTTTTCAAGAACAATAAGTCAGAAAAATCCTTCTATCTAATCTAAATTTGAAAATACCAGCTTCAAAACTCAACCTATTTTTTGTACCTTTTATAAATAGGTTTTCTATCCATAGTTGTTTCATGTAAGATAAACAAAAATAAGTTGAATCTCTGAGTAATAAAATTCTTTCCACGAAAGAAGCAGGGGGATAATTTGGTCGAAACCAGTGACGTATAGTTCATAAAACAGAGAAACACCAAAGATTCAACTTGTTTTGTTCACTGGAGAAACCAAGTGTGAATCGCCACACTTTTAAAGTAGAACATCCAGTCCAGTGCAACGAATGTACTGTTATGTTAAAAGTATGGTATCGAAACGGTTTTGGTCACAAATGTCTGACCGATGTATAATGCCACGCTTATACCATTTTTTCATCAAGATAATTTAAATGCAAAATTTAGGCGCAAAAGCCTACACTCAAGATATGGTTTTCATTTGTACGTTGATTGTAGATGCTATCTCGGGTGCTTCACTGCTGATTTGTTATTTATTTATAATTCTTTTTTTTAATCGGCCATTATTTAAGCATACGCGATAAAGGTCAAGTGAAGGTTAGGTACATTTTTCGCAAAACGACCAACTTCCGTAAAAAAAAGAATTAGAACGAAACAGACAAATAAATATTGTACTTTATTACAGAAATGTGAAAAATTGAATGGTAAACACAAAGGCAATGACCGCAAAATACGCAATCATGGTAGGCAAACGTTTCTGATTGGCTAAAATAGTTCAATCCAAAAGCACCAGTTAGAGTCGAAGAGTTGAGGATAACCTACAATGATCATGAATCACTACTATCGATGTTTCTCATATACAAGATATTATTTATTTATTTTTTGTTTAAGTACAGAGCTATTATTTATTGCGGTAGAAACAGAGCTCTATTAATTTAATTTTATTATTTTTATTTCGAAACGCTCTAATAAATAGCACAATACTCGGTTTAAAGGACACAGTGGGCATCTAGGCGGACATTAGGTGAAAAATCGAAGTTGCTCCTTTTTCAAAAACAAATAGTCTAGGATGTAGCCCTTGAAAAGGGCTATCGAACGGTGTATAAATGTCTATTGTGATGTTCAGTCCTTCGCAGAGAAAAACGGGTACAAAACAGTACTGTGTTATACTACTTTTAGCGACATCTTGAGAGTTATTTGTTCATTTTACTTGCTTCGTTGCATTAAATGGCTACACAAAGCACATATTCAAAATCAGCAGAATGAGCGCTATCTATTGCTACCAAAAAGTTACTAATTCCAAACGAAATTCGATGAGAAACAGGCCATACAAGCTGCATAGTGTCAATTACAGATGACCCGTCCTCAATATAGTCGACCCGCCACCGTTAGCCACCATGCAAAACGACTTATTTGTACACCAAAATGTTCTCCAGATCAAGCTGCATCATTGGTGATGTCATCTTTTTTCACTTTTTTGTTTAAGTCGAGTAATAGGTTTTACAAAAACCCCTGGGATTTTGGAGGTATTTTGCAGTTTCCTGCAGTATAAATGCACTTTTCTTCAAATATAATACCATTTTTGGAATCAGCATGAAAAACTGCATCGAATGGTGTATAAATCATCTAGTTTTTGAGATTCACACAAACAATTTCGTGCTGAAAATTTGAATTTCAAGATAAAGTAACCTGAACGACTCGAAACATGTTTCTTATAGGTTTTCGACAATGCTCTTTCCAGTGGCATCGTTTTTAAATATTGAGAAAGTTTTCTGAAGGGTTTTCGAAAGATCGGATCTCTGGAAAACTCCTTAGAAAACTTTTTCAAAATCCAACTCTCATGCCATTAGAAAGAGGATCATGAAAAACCTATAAAAAAATGGTTCATGAAATTTTAGTTCACTCATAAAGCTAAAGTCCGCCTGCTCTAGCAAAAAATGCCCACTGTGAAGGAGGGTAATACAGGAAAAGTAACTATTAAAATTTTAAAATCTCATAAATTTTAGTTTAAAAATTGAGTTTGAGGAATCGTAGACCAGGAAATTCTTATTCCATTAAGAATGACATTCTGAACAACTTTTGCTCAAAAAGGCTTTCTTTTCATAAAGGTACTGACAAAGTGCTGTGAAAAAAATCTTCTCTCTCACCTGAAAGTTGGGAGAGGGGTGGGCGCGGATTTTTTTGTTGAACTTCGTAGAGGACACTTCGAAGTATATTTTCTGAAGTGTTTTCGACTTTCTGACATTATTTGGCGTAGAAAGAAATTACTTACTTAAAAAAATGTGTTAATGATGTCCTGAACTGTAGCAAAAAACAGATTTATTAAACTTTCATATATGAACTCAAAATGATTTAACATACTCTATGTTGTAGCCCGTGAAATTCTCTACTAAATGAAATATTGCTTGAATTTTTTTATTGAACCGTTATTTTACAAATGCGATTGTATAAGAGTATAATAATGTTAATTAACGGTACCAAAGAGTACCACTAATTATCTATTAACAGGAAGGAAAGAACAAGGATTTTTTCTTTCTTTGGCGTATTAAATATTTCCCACACATTTCTTTCTCGATCTAGGCAAGAACCAAATTTTTATAATGAAAGAAGAACGACGAGGAAATTTTTTAATAATAGCCTTTGCACTAAAAAATTTAACAGTAATTTTTTCTTAGCCAAATAATGTCAGTAAGCCGAAAATACTTCACGGCGTATATTTCGAAGTGTCTTCTACAAACTGGAAAAATCTAAAGAAAATTTGAATCGCAGGATATTTTACAATGATTCTCGACGAGATAGGTGCTGCCCTGTTTATGAACAGACATCACCTTTACAGCAGTTACTTTCCATTGATAAGAAAAGATACCTGTTTTAATTAATAAGTGAAATATATGCAATAGTTGCCTTCGTAGAACAGAAAGGCACAATTGAATAAATTCCAATAACAAACCGTCAACATCGACACTGGCCGTATTGTTTATCGAGTCAACAGCTTTTACAACCTCAGTGAGAGAAATGTGGATGTCTGAAAATTTTGGTCCGTTTGAATTTGAAAAAGCGTTATTAATTACTGGAATGAAATTCAGTATAGAAGTGGAATAATAGGAATTGAAGTATGTATTGAACATGTCACAAAATTCTTTGACAGACGACGAAAAGTACTTTGACGTATTAGACATGAACTGAAGCTTGCTCAACTTTTCATTCTTGAATTTATTTATAGAAGTCAAAAATATGTGTAGGATCAGAAAAGAGAGATAATTTTTTTTAAATGTTTTTTCTTGTCTGTTCTGACGAATTTAATAGCAGTGTTTCGCAGAGGCCTTTAGAGAGAATAGTTTACAGCTGTTTTTGTCTTCCAACGATTAAAAGCTCGATTTCTGTTTGCCATTTGTTTACGAGCTATCTTAGAAAGTTATACATTTGGCTTTTTGGTTAAGATAACGCATTTCAGTGGAACATATTCGCCTATGCAACTGTCAACATGAAACTACTATGTGGGATCAGTCGCAGGAAAGGTGTCTGTTATATTGTCTAAAGTACTGTACAAATCTTGTACAAATTTGTATTTTGTTTGTAAAATAGTAACATTAATGTCGAAAGAAAAGATTAGAGTAAACGTCCAGGAACATATAATATTCAATTGATCAGCCTGCGCCAGGATCTGGCAATTTGAAAAGTCAACCTTTACTTTTCAATATTTCTAGTTATTTACATTCGGAAATTGTTTTTGATTTCGACAATACAATACTGAACTCGCTTTATCGCTCACGGTACTCTCTAAAAAAAATAGGCATTTTAAAAAACCTAAAACGGGTTCGGGAAACTGCAAATATACGGAACCCTTTAAAAGGTTTAGTAAGGGGTTTTTGACGTGTACTAAACCGTTTTCAAATTTCAGTTGCAAATGGAATATCTATTTTTCCAAGATATGATACAATCTACAGCAGTTTTAAGTCTAGTCATTTTAATTCATTATTATATATAATGTGATGTTTCGAAATATAGACTTAAAACTGCCGTAAATTGTATCATATTTTTACTCAAACTTT